AAAAATACCAATTATATCAAACTTTGTCATTTACCAAGTATTGAGATATTTTCTGTCAAACTCAATCAAACTTACTTCAAAAATGTTTAGCAATGACATTTGAATCCATTAGAAATTACCTCAATTCATTGAAATGGCAAGCAACAAGTAATCAAACAAAAATTGGTAAAAGATTAGTATATGTCAAGAATTAATAACTTAAGATCATATGCAAAAATGCATTTCAAATGCATAAAAATATCAATGACCATCGATCAAAAATAATTGGAAACATGTAGTGAAGCTTGAAAATCAAATATTAGGCCTAAACTATACTAATTGTTAGTTTATGTTACAATACATAAATCAAAGTTAGTGTTAGAATCTACATAACCTAAACTATTAACAAATTCTACATCAAGAATTAGGAGCTAGTGTTAATCTAATCAAGAGTTCAAAATCTCAAACTAGTGTTAGTGCTAACTAGTTTTCTATAGCTAATTCAACTTAAACACTAGTGTAACTACACCTAGGGCTAAAAATCAACACAACAACACTATGTCAACTTCAAGTTACAACCAAAATCAATTCCTCAAGTTCAATTGATCACTTATTTCAATAAGCAATTCAATAAAATGATATTAAATTCTCAATTCAAATCAATTCTCAACAATTAAGCCTCAATTATACAATTAAAATCTCAATCAACACAAAACCAAGAAAAATCATTTATTCCAAAAAATTATTTATTTCAAAAAGCGCTTAATTCAAGAAAATTCACCGATAGAAGTGAAGAGGAGACTTAGGTATAGAGATTGCAACAAATGGATCAACAATCAGAGAATAATTGCACTTGATCTTGACTTTTGGATCTTGATAAAGTTGTTGTTGTGTTCTTGATGAAAAAGGTGTAGAACCTTGATTTGATCTTTGACAGAATTGAGAGAAAAAATTTAATTGTTTGTGGAGATTGGTGAGTTATGAGAGAAATTGGAGTATAAAGAATATATAGTATGGGCTTATGTGAGTGAATTTGGTTAATGAGTCTCAAATATCCATAAATACTAATGTATGATTTTAATTCACTTGAGTGTGACACGTTCCGGACAAATTCGCAAGAATCTCGATGTGACTTTCGAAGTTTAAATGTTAAACTAAAATATAGCCAACATTGAGAACAACATTGTGTCCGAAGATGGGCTCAATCAGATAAACGGTTATTTAGTTATGATTTTTTGAAGTTTCGTCTTAAATGAAAATATTTCTCGGTTCAGGATTTTCAAACGCGTTGCACACGCTTCGGACCAAAAACGAAGGCTTTTGGGATACCACTCGAATTAGAAAGCTGAAAAAAATATTTAGTCAACTCAATTTTTGAACCAATGCTATCGGAACCAGCTCGATACAATAAGAATCTTCTGAGTTATGATTTTCTGAAGATGAAGCAGGCGAACACTTGTCACAATTTTCTTGTGCGAATATATTTGATAAATTCATATATTCGAAGACTCTCTGAGTAGAAATGACTTCCGACCGTGAGATATGAAATGTATATGACATTAAGAAGAATCTTTATCCGCAGGAACGGGTTCAAAACGATAAACAACCTTCAAGTTATAAAATTTTTAGTGCGCCGAAACTGCACTTTCAGCACCTTTTTCTTTGTATTTTTCACCATATAACTTCCAAAAGAACTGCGCATTCGAAGACTTTCCTTTGAGAATTAGCTTTTGGTCCGAACACAAAAATTAAAAAGAACATCGAGACAATTTCAAAACCTCAAGAATAAACCCAAAACACCATTCCAAGCTGGAGATGCGAAATTTTTAAACTTAGATCAGTCGAATTCACACTGTTTTAAATTCACCGAAAACACCCAAATCTTCCACAACTCAAACATGCGTTGAAAAATTATGAGAGCTTTGTTGTGTTGATCAAATACTTTGATTAAATTAATACGAAACCAATGAGATGCATGCATGTGTATATGCAAACAAAGTATAAGCCAATCAACATTAAAACAAAGAGGGCAAATTTTGGGGTGCAACAGCTGCCCCTATTTAACTGCCTTCAACCTGAAGGTGAGATTGGCGCCAGCCTTTCGAACCTTCAAGGCGGAAGGAGATTAAATACTAAGAGAACCCGAAAATTTGCACTCCGAAACCAGTCAGGAATTATTATATTTTTGGTTTTCTGTATTTTCTATTTTTTGCTTTTTGGGTTAAAGGGGTTATCAGGGATAAAAATATGTTGGACCAGGGTTAGACACGCAGAAGAGAACTTGGTTATCAAGGAACATCTGTTCGGAGTTAGTAACGGACACACGCAAGAAAGATATCAAAAGATATATGCCCGAAGTCAGTAGCAAACATATGAAAAAGGTATCAAAGATACATATCTGGGGTCGGTAGCGAATACATACGAAAGAGACAGACCGAAGAAAGCTCTTACAAAGATATCAAGAATATATGTCTGGGGTTGGTAGCAGACACATAACAGAGAAGAGACTGGAGGAAAGGACTCTAACCAAGGATATCAGGAATATACGTCCGGAGGAAAGGACATATAACCAAGGATATCAATAAAATATGTCCGGAGGAAAGGACATATATAAGGAAAGAGGCTAGAGGAAAGGACTCTAACCAAGGATATCAGGAAAATATGTCCGGAGGAAAGGACACATATAAGGAAAGAGGCCAGAAGAAACGACTCTAACCAAGGATATCAGAAAAAAATATCCGGAGGAAAGGACGTATAACCAAGGATATCAAGAAAATATGTTTGGAGGAAAGGACATATATAAGGAAAGAGGCCGGAGAAAAGGACTCTAACCAAGGATATCAAGAAAATATGTCCGGAGAAAAGGATATATATATATAAGGAAAGAGGCCAGAGAAAAGGACTCTAACCAAGGATATCAGGAAAATATATCCGGAGGAAAGGACATATAACCAAGGTTATTAAGAAAAAATGTCCGGAGGAAAGGACATATATAAGGAAAGAGGCCGGAGGAAAGGACTCTAACCAAGGATATCAAGAAACTATGTCCGGAGGAAAGGACATATATAAAGAAAGAGGACGAAGGAAAGGACTCTAACCAAGGATATCAGGAAAATATATCCTGAGGAAAGGACATATAACCAAGGATATCAAGAAAATATGTCCGGAGGAAAGGACATATATAAGGAAAGGGCCAGAGGAAAGGACTCTAACCAAAGATATCAAGAAAATATGTCCGGAGGAAAGGACATATATAAGGAAAGAGGCCGGAAGAAAGGACTCTAACCAAGGATATCATGAATATACGTCCGGAGGAAAGGACATATGAACAAGGATATCAAGAAAATATGTCCGGAGGAAAGGACATATATAAGGAAAGAGGCCGGAGGAAATGACTCTAACCAAGGATATCAAGAAAATATGTCTGGAGGAAAGGACATATATAAGGAAAGAGGCCAGAGGAAAGGACTCTAACCAAGGATATCAAGAAAATATGTCTGGAGGAAAGAGAACATCGGGTGAAGACGAACCTTAGCCGACAAAAAGGGACACCGGGCGAAGGTGGATCTAAGATGGAAAGACACCGGGCGAAGGTGAATTTCGGAGGAAAGAGAACGTCGAGCGAAGACGAACCTTAACCAACAAAAAGGGACATCGGGTGAAGGTGGACCTAAGATAGAAAGACACCGGGAGAAGGTGAGTTCCGGAGGAAAGAGAATGTCGGGCGAAGATAAACCTTAACCAACAAAAAAGGACATCGGGCAAAGGTGGACCTAAGATGGAAAGACACCGGGCGAAGGTGAATTCTGGAGGAAAGAGAATGTCAGGCGAAGACGAACCTTAACCAATAAAAAGGGACACCGAGAGAAGGTGGACCTAAGATGGAAAGACACCGGGCGGAGGTGAATTCCCGAGGAAAGAGAACATCGGGCGAAGACGAACCTTAACCAACAAATAGGGACACCGGGTAAAGGTGGACCTAGAATGGAAAGACACTGGGAGAAGGTGAACTTATCGAAGGAAATAGAACGTTGGGCGAAGACAACCTTTAACCAACAAGAAGGGACACCATGCGAAGGTGAACCTAAGGCTGAAAGACACCAGGCAAAGGTGAACTTACCAAAGGAAAGAGAACGTCGGGCGAAGACGAACCTGAAAAGGAAGAAAGACCAACCAAAGGGGACTCTAAACAGGGATTGCCAACACGTGTTTGGGCTTTAAGAGTTTGAAAATTCGCAAGAACTACAAAATCCCTCAGGCCAAAGGCGGGGTGTAATTCTTTAAGGGTGGCAATTATTTGAATTACCACACACCAATTATGGATACTCAAATACTTGATAAGTAAGAAAGACTATACACCGACTCTTACTCACACTCTAATGGCAAAACAAAGCATATGTAAAATAACCGAAGACTTGCAAGGGCAAGAAGAAACCACAACTTACTGGGGAAATGGAGAAAACCAAAGACCCGACTGGTGGTACATCAAACAGACTCTGCTGGGGAAACAGAAATAGAATCACCCTAGGATTGTTGTGGAGTGAATTCAAATCTGAGCGCATAATGATCTGGTTACCACAGGTGAACACAATTGGCTTATATTTATGCAATGTTTGAATTTTTTATAGCGTAATGCTCCATATAATGGAAATGCTACGTGTTTGGGTAGATGCAGCAGAAGGCGTATTACCATCGCTGACACGACATTCATGCTGAGTTGCCTTGGTAATGACTATAGTCATGCCGAGTCCAACCGCAAGAATGATATTCACAATCCCCCAAAGTCTTTTTTCACCCCCAACAAAATGCCCTCATGGCTCCACCACTAACGACATTAAAGTAAGCACAACAACATTGATCATGAGCCCCATTGCTCTGGCACGGACTCCACGGTTGTATGTGTTGTCTCCCGGATCACCACCGTACACTTCGTGACCCATCCAATCAATGTCGAACAAGAAAAATGGGAACCATGCAACCCATTTTATAGTTATTACCAACATTAGCATCCATATTGGTTTTTATAGTCCGTTGAATGCACCTAGTATTTCTCCGAAACACGAAACCAGTTGTTCTGGTTCTGATTGTGTTTGTATTTGTGTCTGCGATTGTGATTCTACAACTGGTAATGGAATGTATTCTACATGAAGAAGAGCAAAGGCTGAAAGTACGATAAGGAGAAATATTGCAATGAAGAAACAAGTTTTAAGATTTGCACAAAACTCGTTGCAGGCTTCGGTTTTAGTGAAAGGGAGCATCATGAAGAGTTTACGGTAAGAGCCTGCTGCATAACCAAGGACATTATCAACAGCCATGAAGAACGAGAATAGTGCATTACTTGTTCTCATTCTTTTATGGTCTTCAGCGGCAAGGTCACCGATGAAGGCACGACAAGGTCCTTGGAGCATGTTATTAGCAACGTCAAGTATCCATAATCCGAATACAAAGATGACAATAGCTTTTGGTCATGTCTTTTTCTTGAGATCATCTCCGAAGGAGTGACCGAGATCAGCTGCATAGTCGATGAGAAAGTGCGATCGCAACTGCAATGGCGCCGAAGAATATGAATGGACGGCGGCGACCAAAACAAGAACGTAAACGGTCACTGTAATAACCGACAATCGGTTGGATGATCATTCCTGAAATAGGACCGCACAACCAGATGTTGGCGGCCCATTTATGTGGGACGCCAAGCAATTAGATGTAAGGTGTCAATAAAGATAGCTGTATGGCCCAACCGAACTGGATGCCAATGGCAATGGAAGAAACTGCTATCATCTTACGGAAAGGGGCTGGTTGTCGGTTAGAAGCAGATTCTAACTGAAGAGATGAAATTCTGGAATTGTCATTGTTGTTATTGGTGGAATGATTATCCATTGGTGAAAAAAGAGAATGAAAGTTGTGTGTGTTATGCTGAAAATGAGAGAATTTATAACACAAAAAAGAGACTTTTGGCTAACAAGTAATCCCAATGCTTATCCTTTTGGTTTTCTAGTGCGGTCGGTGGTCGATGTAACCAGGGTAGAAGTCATTGAAATTATGCATTTAATATCAATTTTGATGATTCCCTAGTCTTAATGTGTCAAGAATTACTTTGTGGAAAAAAATTGCACTCAAAGTTATATTATACTATTGTTTTTTTTTTGTTTCTTTTAACGTATTCGTCAGTATCTAATCTCAGTCAAGAAGAAAAAATACATAATTCACAGTTTTTTTTTTATTTAGAAAGTATTAATCTTTAACTATGAATTATTTTATTTAAAGTATTTTACCTAAATATAAATTCTTTATAAATTATTATTTGCAATTACTTTTTAAAATTAATCTTATTTAATACTATCATCTTTGTTAAATATATGAGTTGTAAATCGGATGAATTAAAAAACTAATTGTTATATTTAATATTTTTAATAATTTATGTGTTTTTGTTTTGTTGCAAAATTCTTATTTTTGTGAGAGAGTTCATTTAGATATTGATAAAGTATTTTTTATGAATTATAAAAAAGTAAATAATTGAAATCTATAATACATATTTATTATTTATATTTATAAAAAAATAATTATTAATTAATTTTATATATAAAAGTTTTAAATTTGTCTTTAAGAAGTATTTTTATATTAAATGGAGAGCCGAAGTTCTAGAGAGAAAATCACAACAAGATAAAATCAGAATATTGTTTCTCAACTAAATTATTATCATACAAAACCTTCATGAAAGAAGAGCAAACATTGAAATTACATAATTTATGTTGTTGATGAGTTCCAGAGAGAAAATTACAATGAGATAAAAACCAGAATATTGTTTCCCAATTAAGTCATTATCATACAGAACCTTCATGAAGTAAGGACAAACATTGAAACTACATAACTTATGTTGTTGATGAGTTTAATTCTTCGCAAGGGCATCAACACACGAATTAGCTTCCCTGTAAATATGCATGATCGATACTTGGATGTCTTGATGAAAAAATATCAAATATTATTTAAAAGATTCTTACCCAAGTTAATGGAGGAGGAGGTACAATTAATGCCCTTAACCACTTGTTGCGAATCATTTTCGACCATGATCCTCTTGAATATCTTATTTGTAGCAAGGGAGACCTCCATATGCTGCCTAAAGTTCAACAGTATACACACTATAGATCCCAATATTCTTCGAAAAACCTTTAAGCCACTCACCATCTGAAACCTCTGATGATTCCACCACAGTCTGCGTTTCCTTTTTTGTCCATGGTACCATCGATATTCATCTTAACCCAGTCTCTCGGGGGAGCTTCCCATATGATCCTCACTTCCATGCTAGGATTAGTCGTAATCCTTGTTGTTGCTTTTGCTTCCTCAAACTGATGCATCTATCTACTGATATAAGAATACATGCACGATGGCCTATTAAAATTTTCATTGTGGACCTCTTTAATGTGCCAAATCAAGAGATTATAACAAGAACTTGCTTTTCGCTTATAAACGCTAGTTATATATCTAATTAATGTAAAACTAAATTTTCAACTTTAAACCTAACTAACACAATGAATACGAGACAAATGACATAATTAGTTGATTAAGAACAAACAATAACGAAGATGGGACTTCCAACATACACTCTTGCATTCAAGTCTCAATGAGGTTGAAATATGGACAATGTGGGAGTTCACCAATAGACTTTGGATATGCTCTGAAATCATGTTGAATTTGTGATTTGTATAAAAAATGAGAAAAATATTCTTGTAATAATTGTTATTAAAAAAATTGTAATTTCACATATTTATTTAATTATTTCTTTTTTTAATTATTTATTTAAAACTATTTTTCTCTTAATTTATTAAATGTCATAATTTTTCTTCCACTAACTATTTAAATCTATTTTATTATTTGTTTCTTGCTATATTTTAAAAATTAAATTGGAGGTTAAATCAGTAAAACTCTCAAAAATCATATAATTTAATAGAATAAAAATTTCAAAAATAATTTACAAACTTAGTATAACAAGATTACAACAAAATTAGTGACACATATAATAACACAAGTTAATTGTATATTTAATTTCAACTTTCATTTTAGAACAATTTGAACAAATTAAAGAATTAATATAAAAATAAGTTAAATCAATACAAACTAAAATTAAAATAATAGAATATAATACTTCAAATAAAATTAAAATAATTAAGAACATATGAATTAAATATGATAGAATCACCAAAAATAAATAATATAATATATTTTCATTGAACAACGTTAGGCGAATGCGAGTTGAAAGACAACAAATAATTCATATTTGGATGATAAAAAATAATATTGAGTTGAAGGACATTTAATATTAAGTTGGATAACATGAATATGTTTATAAGAGATGATGTGGCGATGATAGAGCATGATTAAAAGAAAAAAATTATAACGAAGTGACACATTTTAGGAGTTTGTATGATTATAGAAAAAATAAGGAATTATTTTTTGTGAATGCGAAATGTTTTAAGTTTTGATATTGACATATTAAATTTAAAAAATATTTAAAAATGGTCAATTTGATGTATTTTTTGAACCGGAAGATTTTGTAAAATCGGCTCCGATTCTTTGTTTGAACGTTTTTAGACAGTTTAACTTGATTTTTCTGATTTTACTCCAATTTTAACCTATTAACCATTTTGAAAGGTTGACTGGACCGAATGTTAGAATAATAATGCAAGTGTGAGTAAGTGGGGAAATAGTTTCATCTTGAATAGGAATGTGGAGACTTGAGCATGTATAAGTGAGAGAATCCACTCTCCTATTACCTTAAAGTTTTAGGTGGATAAGTGGTGTGTCTCTCACAAAGATGCATAATCATCATCTTTGTATCAATGCTCTTAGTGAAATCCCCCAATAAATGGTATCAGAGTCTGGTTCGAGAAAGGGAACGACTTAGTATTGAAATGCCCAGGAAGAGGTGTCCTGTTGCAAGGTGTCAATGGAGGTACAAGTAGGAGAGCATTATGGACTCACACTTGAGGGGGAGTGTTAGCATAATAACGCAAGTTTGAGTAAGTGGGAAAACAATTCCACATTGGATAGGAATGTGGAGACTTGAGCATATATAAGTGGAAGAATTCAATCACCTATCACGTTATGTTTGTAGGTGGATAAGTGGTGTTTATCTCACAAAGGTGCATAATCCTCAACTTTGTAGGAAGATACTATTACTTTGGATGAAGTCCATACGTTAGCGAAATCTAAAGAGTTTTCAAAGTCAAAATATTTGAAGATTGAATATAGTGGTGAAGGATTAAATGTGTTAAGAGGAGGGTGTGAGCATAAAGGGATGTCCAAATCAAAAAGGTCTGACAAGTAAAAGGTAAAATATTTTAATTGTCCAAAAAATGGTCACTTTAAAAGGGATTGTCCTGAGAGAAAGGGCAATGAAGATTATGTTCAAGCTACATTTTCCTCGGGTGAGGAAAGTTATGAGGATTCCAATGCAATAATAGTATCGAGTTTGGAAGCCGAAGATAGTTGGGTCATTGTCTCAGGTTGCTCTTATAACATGTGTCCAAGAATATAATACTTTGAAACATTGAAGATGGTGTAAGGTGGAGTTGTTCGTCTCGGTGATAATAAGACTTGCAAGGTTCATGGTACAGTCATACTTTAAATATTTGATGATCGTGAACTTCTTATTCACAATATGAGGTATGTTCTAGAACTCAAGCGAAATTTGTTATCTATAAGTATGTTTGATGATTTAGGCTATTGCCCTAGAGTTGAACATAGAGCGTTGAAGATTTTGCATGATGTATTGATTATTTCTAAATGGTCTAAAACATGTAGTCTATATATTTTAGAAGGTTCAAATGTTGTTATTTATTCATTGTTAACTAGTGGAGGCTTTCATGACAAGGAAGAACTGCGGGATTTGGGTTTAAGGGGTTATGAATGCCTTGAGAAAGTTTCAGAGGAGTATAATAAAATTTTCATAAATCAAGGGATAAAAATGCATGTTACCGCTGAGTTTTTATTTAGTTTTTGGAGAAGAGTTGAGGTTAAAACAACTTACTTGGTTGGTAGATAATTTCTTCAGAGGGAGAATAATGAAAACCAATGGAGAAATCTAGGAGAAACTATAACGGAGAAAACTCAGTTTGAGGTGGAATTTCCTACTATGAATACTAGTAGTAGTGAGTGAACGGCTACAGAGATCTCTGATTATCATTTTACTCATGATAAGGTAGGGATGGTTATTGTAGCATCTCAAAAGAACGATTATGTTAGCCTTGGATATTATGTTTTTAATGTGGCTGAAGGACTGCAAAATAAAAGAAGAAGAATCTTTATGGAGTCATTTGAAAACAAGTGAGTCAAGGGTAGTTGAAAAATTATACTTGTAGACTTGTTAAATTACCTAGGAAGAAAAATATAATTGGAATCAAGTGGATGCAAG